CCCCCCCCCCCCATGTGCCATGTGACTCCAGAACATCCTGTGTCACCTACTGAACCCTGTGCACCCCGTGATTCCAGTACTTCCCAGGGCATCCTGTGTTTAGTGATCCCCGTGCACCCCAGAGCATCCTGTGTTATCTAGTAACCCCTGTGATCCCCAATGCACCCCAGAGCATCTTGTGTCATCTGGTAACCCCTGTGCTCCCCGTGTCTGCAGTGCACCCTGTGTCATCTGGTAACCCTGTGCTCCCCGTGTCTGCAGTGCACCCGTCTGCAGTGCACCCCAGAGCATCTTGTGTCATCTGGTAACTTCTGTGCTCCACGTGTCTGCAGTGCACCCCAGAGCATCCTGTGTCACCCAGTTAACCATGTGCGCCCCGTGATTCCATTACTTCCCAGGGCATCCTGTGTTTAGTAAACACTGTGCACCCCAGAGCGTCCTGTGTCGCCTAGTAACTTCTGTGCACCCCGTCTCTCCAGTGCACCCCAGACCATTCTGTGTCATCTAGTATCCCCTGTGCGCCCCGTGTCTCCAGTGCACCCCAGACCATCCAGTGACCCCCCCCATGTGCCCCGTGACTGCAGTGTCCTGAGAATAAGGGTTAGGGATTGGAAAGAGCTGTGTGAAGGACACAGAGAAAACAAGGGAACTAGGGCGGGTAATGATTAAAATTTTCGTGTTCGATTAATCTAAATTTATTTTAATCGATTAATTTCTATTAATTATAACGCACATGCAGATCCAACTACATTGGCCTATACACATACAGCACAGCAATGAAGTCATAAAATGAACTAGGATCACACTAATCCAGCACGTTATTCATCTCACGTGCCCCACTCAATATGGCCGCCGCTTGAGTGGGGCAACTCAGAATAATAACGGGCTGGATTAGTGTGATCCTAGTTCATTGTATTACCTCATTGCTGTGCTGTATGTGTATAGGCCAATGCCTTGGCTGGCGCTCGTGCAGAAAGTTTCTTGGACAAACTCACCGGCCCAAGTGGCTCCGTCGGCTAATGAAGGGGGGAGGAGTCTGATGACGTCACGGACATCGACGTAACCAGACTCCTCCCCCCCCCCCTTCGTTAGCCGTCACGGACATCGTCACTGGACTCCTCCCCCCTTCCCTTCGTTAGCCGACGGAGCCACTTGGGGAAGGAGTCCGGTGATGTCCATGACGTCACCAGATCGCCAACGGGACTCCCGGAGGCCGGCGGAGAGGTGAGTGTTTTTCATTAGCAATCAAAATAATTTTAATCGATCAAAAAGTTTAAAGATTAATCGAGAAATGAATCTTTAATTTGCACAGCCCTAAAGGGAACTCTTTGGGGCAGAGGTGGGCAAACTCCGGCCCTCCAGCTGTGGTGAAATTTCAAATCCCATCATGCATCGGTCTCTGGCAGTCATGCGGCGGTGAGAATCTTGCAGTTCCTCATGTGATTTGTAGTTCCTTTTACAGCTGGATGGCCCCGGGCTTGCCCACCCCTGCCCTTAGGGGATTGTGAATTCGGACATTGACGTGTGGCCAGGCTACGGGCATTCAAGTATTTACATATTTCTAACCAGCAGTCAATGAGCTCTAACACCAGTGCCCACTGCCCTTTGTAGCTGCTCGTACTGATGGGCAATCCATCCTCACATTTCACAGCAGAAGAATTGAAGTTGTCCACGTCAATCTCTCAGCAGCTCAACTCACCTGGAAAAGGTTCCTCTAAAAATGTCATTCTCATACTGATGAGGGAGGAACGAGAGAAGAAGAAACATATGCAGATTAAACTTCACCATTAAAACTGACCGGCGTTCCCATAATATTGCGCAACATAAACATTTTCAACTACCACCATTTTATTCTATAGGGTCTTGGCATTCAGAAAATAATGTTGGGGGGTTTTACGTCATTTTTAGGCCTAAAATGTGGAATATAACATGGGTGCAAAAAATGAAAAAAGGGCCTCAGTCATGAAGGGGTTAAGATGCTACACCAGCCTTGGTTAGTTTTGGTTCTTGGTGCCCATGAATACTGATGGGGGTTTAAGTCTTGTCTGGTTACAATGATGTCTAAGTGATACGTTCTCATATCGGGTGAGAAGTCTTCTGCTGTCTAATAATCTTGTTGTTTGTATTGTACTCACCAGGGGTCTGTGACGTTCCATGACGTGGCGGCCTGTTTCACTACCGAGGAGTGGGCGGAGCTGGAGGACTGGCAGAAGAAGCTGTACAAGAACGTGATGCAGGAGATCCATTCTGCACTGGAGGCCATGGGTACGGGGACGTTGGTTTCGGGGTTCTAACTTGACTCTCGTGTGAAATGTCTTTTCTACCTCCAGTGGGCACTTCATGTGTTCATAGTGGCACCTTTGTGAACAGCAAGTGGGGAGTTAGTTTTACCCCTTGCTGACCGCGGTGTTACACCCCCTTCCTGGCCAGGCCATTTTTCAGTGTTCAGCGCTGCGGTACGGTTTATTCCGTCATGCAGCGCTGTACTGACATTAATTTTATACCATTTTTTAGGGACATATAGAGCTTTATTTTGCTGGTATTTAATCACCACTGCTGGTTTTTATTTTTACTGTATAATGAAAAAAAGTACGGAATATTTTGAAAAAATACCTGTTCTCCCTACGTTATGTTATAAAACATTTATCATTACCCAATTTTTAGGTAAAATATAAAAGACGCGGTCACGTCGGGTAAATAGACACCAAATATGTCAAGCTTTAAAATTGTGCGCGGCCGCTAAATCGCAAAAAACTACCATGCTCAATATTGACCATAGGTGACGCTTTGAAAGCTTTTACCGTTCATCAGTTCAGTGTTATCAGTGATTGATGGAATTATTGCGCTCGCTCCGACGTTCGCAGCGATATGTAACATGTGCGGCGCAATGGATTTAATCGTCGTTTTCGCACGTAGGCGGACTTGACGCATGTGGGGGCGGGGGACTTTAATTTTTTTTTTATTGCTTTGATATGCGATTTTTAATTTTGTTTGTAACTTTCCTTTTTTTTTAAACCTTTTTTTTTTCACTTAACTCTATTGCTATTACATAGGGAGCAAACAAGCTCCCTATGTGATAGCCAATTTGTAGTAACAGGTCCTCTTTATGGAGACATCAGGGGTCTTTAAGACCCCTAATGTCACCTAGGGACCCCCAGAGAAGCTGATGAAGCAGAGACCTGCTTCACCAGCTTCTCTCCGGTTTCTGTACCGGAGAGTGACACTGAATACAGGAAGTGATGTAATACACATCACTTCCTGCATTCCAAAGAGGAGGAGGAGATCAAACGGAGCTCATGTATTGACCTCCGTTTGATCTCTGGCCGCAGAGCAGCTGTGCTGGTCCCAGGCTCTCACCAGGCACAGCGGAGCTCGGGATCGCCAGCAGAGGCTGCGACGGAGAGGGGCCGCACGCATATTACAAGAGATCGGGCGTCTCTACATTGGGAAGAATGTCCCTTACATTGGTGGTCAGTGGGAAGAATGCTCCTTACATTGGTGGTCAGTTGGAAGAATGCTCCTTACATTGGGGGTCAGTGGGAAGAATGCTCCTTACATTGGTGGTCAGTGGGAAGAATGCTCCTTACATTGGTGGTCAGTGGGAAGAATGCTCCTTACAGACATATAAAATGACCATTGATGTTCTGTTGCTGGCTGTGATGAGTGGTGCTGGACCTGAGCATGTGTCGGCATCATCGGGTCAGTCAGTCACAGCTCAAGAAACCCTACAAGCCTCTGAAGGAACCCTGCTTGAGAATTGGCTGATCTAGTGAATTAATCAGCTGACAGGTGACATGGAAAGGTTCAGACGCCTCCCTGTAATCCTCACTGTTGTCTTCCTCGATGACTTGTTATGCTGAGGAGTTGCCTCACAGAAATTGTTTGTCTTGTTTTCAGGTTACAAAATTTTGAACGCGGACGTCCTTCTGAAGATTAAGGACGGCGAATGTGATAAGAAGAGCCCGGCTCATGAGAAGAAGGACTCCGCTACAGGTGAGGATTTCCTCTGCTGGCAGTTCACAGACTTCCTATCCGGCCTCGGGGTCAACATTGTGGTCTTCGCACGGTGCTGACAATATATGTTTCCATTGTCCAACAACAAGCCGTCTTTATATAATGCCGTGTTATGAGACGCAGGTTTAGTCATTCTCGTCTTGTCTTTTCAGCCTCCGGCAGAGGTGTCAGCCCTGACATATTACTTCGGATAAATCAGGACGCGGTGCCGGATTGGCGGGAAATGGAGGAAGCAGAGAAAGAGGACGAGCTGGACACCTCCAACAGTGAGTGACCGCGTTCAGTGAGCAGGCTCCACCCATTGCATGCTAAACAGCTAGAATAGGGGAGTCCCCCTCCCTGCCGGGCAATTGTATTCTGACACTGGCAGCCGTGCCGCTGTCGGAATACCTTACCAGTGATGGAAGATGATTGGTCACAATTACTGCTCGCCCTAGAATTTTCAGACCGACTCCTTTGACAAAAAATGGGAGAGGGATCCCAAGGAGGTCACACACTGCTCGGAATTCGCTCAGTTTAAGGGCCGGTTCATACCACAAACCCCACATTCCAGTGCGTTCGGCCCCTGAAACGCAATTCAGGGGCGGGAGGTGGCACTGCAGCCACGCCCAAATCCCCCCGCCCGCAGTGCAACACCCCCTCCCGCCCCTGAACGCAGGGAGCAAGCTGTCTTGCACTTCAGTGGCTCAACGCACTGGAACGCGGGGTTTGTGGTGTGAACGGTTCCTAAAGGAGAATTATGGGAAGAGTGAAATACATTCATCCCGATAATTAAGGCCAATGTGTGACACTGCAGCTGTCATACGTCGGATCTATTGATCGAGGACTGAGCGATCACGTACTGCTGATTACTCCGTTCCCGATCATCTCCCTGCAGAGAGAGTTGGCTGTCAGTCACCGCTCCCCGTAGGGATCGCCCCCTCTCCAATCCTCCAGCGCTGAGTGGAGGAAGGGACAGGGGCCATTATTCTCTTTTTTAATATAGAAGTGTTTTTGCGGCGGCTGTAAAGCCAATCGGTTCCTTCTATATGCTGACATGATGACAGACGCACTCTTGCGGTATTCCTTCCCAGAAGAGAAGAGGCTGTTACAGATACAGTGGTCATGTGGCCCCATAGTGTACTGCAGATGAATCCCCCTGCCACCGTGCTATAGGGGAGCATACCAAGAACGTACTTCCCTCGGGGGGCGAGTGGACATAATGGGGCAGCACTGGGGTCCTGTGCTGTAATCCCAGCCAGGACACTGTATGGAGTTTGCAGATTCTCCCTCTGGTTTCCTCCCACACACCAAAGACATGGTGGTAGAATAAGAGGCTCTGCTCTAAATTGGCCTTAGTATGTGTGTGAGATAGGGACCTTAGTATGTGTGTGAGATAGGGACCTTAGTATGTGTGTGAGATAGGGACCTTAGTATGTGTGTGAGATAGGGACCTTAGTATGTGTGTGAGATAGGGACCTTAGTATGTGTGTGAGATAGGGACCTTAGTATGTGTGTGAGATAGGGACCTTAGTATGTGTGTGAGATAGGGACCTTAGTATGTGTGTGAGATAGGGACCTTAGTATGTGTGTGAGATAGGGACCTTAGTATGTGTGTGAGATAGGGACCTTAGTATGTGTGTGAGATAGGGACCTTAGTATGTGTGTGAGATAGGGACCTTAGTATGTGTGTGAGATAGGGACCTTAGTATGTGTGTGAGATAGGGACCTTAGTATGTGTGTGAGATAGGGACCTTAGTATGTGTGTGAGATAGGGACCTTAGTATGTGTGTGAGATAGGGACCTTAGTATGTGTGTGAGATAGGGACCTTAGTATGTGTGTGAGATAGGGACCTTAGTATGTGTGTGAGATAGGGACCTTAGTATGTGTGTGAGATAGGGACCTTAGTATGTGTGTGAGATAGGGACCTTAGTATGTGTGTGAGATAGGGACCTTAGTATGTGTGTGAGATAGGGACCTTAGTATGTGTGTGAGATAGGGACCTTAGTATGTGTGTGAGATAGGGACCTTAGTATGTGTGTGAGATAGGGACCTTAGTATGTGTGTGAGATAGGGACCTTAGTATGTGTGTGAGATAGGGACCTTAGTATGTGTGTGAGATAGGGACCTTAGTATGTGTGTGAGATAGGGACCTTAGTATGTATGTGAGATAGGGACCTTAGTATGTATGTGAGATAGGGACCTTAGTATGTGTGTGAGATAGGGACCTTAGTATGTGTGTGAGATAGGGACCTTAGTATGTGTGTGAGATAGGGACCTTAGTATGTGTGTGAGATAGGGACCTTAGCTTGCAAGTGTAGATCGATGGCGCTGTATAAATGCCTGTAACAAATATTTTGGGTCTTGGTGATGATAATCTCGTCTGTATCCTCATGTCTGTTCTTGTACATTTCCTGCAGGCATCCCCGTGTTTGATCCGGATCTTTCCATGTGGATCTTTAAGGAAAGTCCAGACATCAGTCTTCCAGAAGACGGGAGAGACCAACTACTGCACGCTGATACAGGTCCGTGTCCAGGTAGCGGGGGAGGTGGTTGTTGGGGGTTTTGTTAACAATTGCAGAGATGACACAATACCGAATGATCTTGTCATGTTATAAGCACTGAATGGAGCTCGGAGCAGCATTTTCTACAAGGAAGGCAATTATTCAGCCCGCCAGGGGGTTGGGTCTTCTCTCTGGGATGAGCGGAGCTTTATCTTAGCTAGGTTCAAAGTTGAGGACCAATGTACAGCTCTGGGTGTAGAATCCAAGAGGACAGCACAGGGAATCGGGGATTAAGCTGAAGATTTAAGAGGTGCTTGCAACACATCCGTAGTGCTATCGATAATACGAAATCACCGGCACTCCATACAGCGTACAGACCTTGGATGGAAGGTTGGTGCTTGAAGTGACAACACGGATGGCTCTGTGTCAGGTACCGTCCATAATAGAAGTCACCAGCACTCGATGATATGTGCAAGAAGTAAAGCACTTTTTATTCAATCGTCACATGGGTCAAACAGCCAAAGTTTCGGGGCCACGCAGGGTCCCTTCTTCTGGGCAACATAGTGACTCGCTATGTCGCCCAGAGGAAGGACCCTGCGTGGCCCCGAAACTTTGGCTGTTTGACGCATGTGGCCATTTAATAAAAAGTGCTTTACTTCTTGCACATATCATCGAGTGCTGGTGACTTCTATTATGGACACCCGTAGTGCTGGTACTTTAGAAATGGTTCAGGCCAATTCAGGTTCAGTTTAGTCCATCCAAAAATGGATTCTGGTGCACTGAGAATTAATTTCTTTGTCTTTTTGGCACTGCATTGTTAAGAACTCCGCCCCCCCCTCCCC